GTGTCGCTTAAGTTTCGTCGAAACAAGCTACGGAAAATCAATTAACAAACGGAGACGTAACAATATTCATATTCACTGAACAGTGCTATATTCATGAACCACTTGACGACGTGGTGGCGCCTTCTTACGTTTCTTAGTAGTAACTCAGTGTACAACTTCCCCTTTCAAACTACTCATTTTCCCTGTTATTAAGGAAAATATAACAACTTCAAACCTGGAAAAAGACGAAGAAATCCAGTACTGCTGCAAAAGAACTGCCATGTAAGAGCAGGATCAACAGCCAGGTTGTTACGGAAGGTTGTTGTCAAATACTCTGACCATTTGATGGCGTTCACTACCTCTGGATCTAAAACAGAATATAATTTGGTTCGGTAAAGTAAACGAGGACAACACTAGTTTGATACATGAAGTAGATGTGGGGGAAAAAATCCTAAAAACTAAAACATTTATTTGTAAAACACAAGAACGTGCCGATTTCTTTATTACTAAGTCCTTGATATGATACTAAATGGGGGAAAAAGTAATAAAGATGCTTATGTTTTTAGTCCTTTTGATTTTTCACTGGAGCTAATAGCTATAAAATGTTTAAATTCAAAGTTTTTATTTTCTAGTACAACAGTTCTGTTCTTTGTTAAAATAAATCTGATAATTACAGTGACTTATTTTATCAGGAATTCCACGTTATATTACTTTATAATACATTATATTTGTTTGTTCAGTTTCGAGCTACGCAAGTATTATGTATTCTATCTGTCTCTAATTTTGAAATGATAGACAAGAGGGAAGGCAGCTAGTCAACCCTACCCACCGCCTACTGTTGGACTACTCTTGTCAGACCGAACAGTGAGATTTGACCGTTCACTATTTTAACGTACCCAAAGCCTCAAATTGCAGAGCGCAATTTTTTTTATATAAATTCTTTTTTTAACGGTATAAAGACCGGAATCACGGAACCTCAGCGCTATCGTCCGGCACATTAAGTATCACTCAAAATCTTTTTTCCTTTCTTTTTTTTTCCAATCTAAGTAACAAGTATAATCATTTCACTGTTTCCGTTGGAAAATAATGGTTGAATTCAGTCAACGGCACTTTTTGAAGAGGGATATTTGATATATATTATATATTCTGTTAACTTGAAAAGTAGATTTTATACTTTTAAAATTTATTTTTATCTCACGTTATCAAGCATTACAGTCACGGTCGAAAAAGCTAAAACTTCCTGCTCTCCGATACAGCCTCGGAGTTCTCCGTTCTAAACAATACAAGTTATAAAAACAGAAAAGTTCTACTTTCACGAATTTCCTCGGGGAACTATTAAGTTTTGACTACGAACACCATGGTTACGTTTACAAAGTCCAGATGCTTTATACGATGTTCTTAATGATCTACTCTTTGACGGTTTATTACAAAATTTTCAGATAAAACAAAATAATTTAAAATTTAAAGCCTTACGTGTTTTTTTAAGTCATGCTCTCTTCGGCTACCATAAGTCGTTGCATTAAGATATTTGCTTAGTTTATCGAATAGCATACTGCGTACACTTTTTACACCACGGACAAAATATCATATAGTTTATATTTTATATCCAAAGAGTCTAAATACAAGTAATAAAATGATACATCTGTATTATGCATGTTTTTCACAGGATATATTACATACGCTTATATCTACGTTCTTGACTAAACCGTAACCAGTGTTACCTCAAGGTTACGGGTCATGCAATTTTTACGTACGAAAATTTTCAATATCAAACTTTAAATATCCAAATTTTAACAAATATCTACGACATTTTTCGCGAGTTTAGGTTAAATTTAAGATGTAAAAAGATCAAAAGACGAAGTCCTATCCGTAACAGAGACATCAATCACTCAAGAGACTGTTGTACAAATACGGCCTGAAGTACGCGATTTCATTCTGAAAATCCCTCAAATTTTAATACAATAGGAAAACAGAAAACTCTTAGTGCATATTGAACCTAAATTGACAAAAATAATTCACACAAATTTTATTGCTAGGTTCTCATTACCTTTGTCGTACACATTGGTGGGGACATGCATAGCACTGTATTGGGGGTTGACTTTGAATTGGTCAAAATTGTGGTGTTTCTCAAGATGGAAAGACCGCCAATCGGAGTCTCTATTTTCATCCTCTGGTGGAGGTTCACTGGGGTCGTACAACTTCTTCATATTGAAATAATCATACTGAAACACGAAGACGTAATAACAACAGCCGTTTTACTTTTCAACAAGAAACAGCAGAGATCTACGTACAAATCTACTCAAGCCCAAAAAATAAAAATATGTAATATATAACTTCATTCTTTTGAAGTTGAGATTCACCACATATCCAGATAGAGAAATATGTTTATCTGGTAATTACAGTATAACGGATGGTGTTTAATCGTAATGGATAATATGAATATAATAGAGTATACCGTATATGATGAATTGGTATTTTCTAGTTTCTCACGTAACAAAAACCATGCATCCAGTTACTAAAGTAAAAGTTTTAATGAAGAAAATATAATAGTAAATCTGCTTAAAATGAAATAAACTTATTTTATTATGCGTATTTAGATATTATTGTTACGACAGCGGAAGTCGCGCAACGCTGGGAGCATGCGCTGGAGTTCTAGAAAGATCGAGGAACCTGCCGAACGTCCTAGCGTTTGCTAGATGCGCGCTTTTATAGTATATAAGCCGGCAAATAAAGTGACGGCAATAATTGAATTGCAGACAGATAGATATAGAGACAGATAATCGAGTCAAGCCGTAAGTAAAGTGCGTGAATCGTTGTGAATTCTAGCGTGTGTTAAGTTAAAGTGACTGTGGAAATTAAGTGTATTGCAAAGTTGTATTGAGAAAGAATAAACTAGTTTTATTTAAGAAAGGACTTGTATCGCTTAAGTTCTTCGGAAAGAATTTCTACGGTAAATTAACAAACAGAACACAGAGACGTAACATTATGTTTGTGTCAAGCGTGTTGGACTGAAACTTTTTCAGGGGCGATCTTCTATTAGCATAATAAAATAACTAACACCAGTAAACCAACAGTGAAGAAATTTAGAATTACAGATACCTAAATCATCGTTCTAAGTTAAAGACTTACAAGAAATCATACAATTCTCTAAAGAGCAAAACATGAAATTCACCAAAACCCCGATAAAGATTTGGTCCTCATTACTACAGGCTGTCGCTTTGGAATACATTAAAGTTTATTAGTAACTAACATAGAAAACCAGTATGAAAACATGAAATTCATCAAAACCCCGATAAAGATTTGGTCCTCATTACTACAGGCTGTCGCTTTGGAATACATTAAAGTTTATTAGTAACTAACATAGAAAACCAGTATGAAAACATGACACTCATCAAAACCCCGATAAAGATTTGGTCCTCATTACTACAGGCTGTCGCTTTGGAATACATTAAAGTTTATTAGTAACTAACATAGAAAACCAGTATGAAAACATGACACTCATCAAAACCCCCACAGAGAATTGATCGCATTTCTACAGATTGTCGACTTTGGAGTGTGTTAAGTTTCGTTACTAACTAATAAAGAACAAAATATGAAATCCTCGAAAGAGATTTTGATTTTTAAACATTTTCTTAATCTCTCGATTATCAATTATAAATCGTTTTAATGTTCTAATAAGAATTATCAATGACGCTCTGCTTGTTTGTCAATCAGTTTTTTCTACCTCTATTTACAGGGTTTTCCGACTTATCTCTGCAGAATTATTCATTAGTTCTCATTATATAAACTTTCATAAAAAATATACTAGATTTGTACCACGTCACTACAAACTTTCAACTTGAATTATGTACCCAAACGGTTTTTTTAGAGGCTTATTTATTAAATTTTAGCCGTTGCATAGAACGACTGAGATTTTTTTTTAAAGTAGAAAATTTTAGCTCATAGCTCCGTCACCTCTTGACCGATTTGAGATCTAATTACAGTTTTGGATTCAGGAGGTCAAACCCTTTCGGTTGATTTATCTGACCACGCCCAAGGTCTCATAGATTAATTTACTCTAATCCTGCCTAAAAGAATTTCATTTTGAGGGTAGGCTGGTAGAAATCCTAATAAGTAATAAAATCGAATTGAGTATACGCGCGCCCCACGCTTGGTATAATTGATAAAAAGAAAAAAAAAGGTCTCATAGATTAATTTACTCTTATCCTGTCTAAATAAATTTCAAGTGCCGTGATCATTGAGGATTCCCTCGTTTTATTGTTGCGTTATCCCTAACAGCCGTATTTCACTAAATAAACACACAAATTGATTATGTCCTTTATTCTATCCTCTGTAAGGTGAAAAGGTTTTTGCGCAAATTAGGAAGTACAATGGATACATTAAAAGTCCCGTTACAACAGTTTGACAAACCCGCTTCAGAGACTGAAAATCGTCTTTATAAATGCCATTTGTTTGTTGCAGAATATCCAAAGGGAAAAACTTATGTTAGAAGTGGATTCTCACGTGTGGCATAGAATGAAGCACTTGCTGTAAAAATTATTATTTATTAGTTAAGGCTTACTAAAAGCTTCTATTTTATGTTTGCCTAGCTTAAAATATACCCATAAACATGTTTCAAGATTACATACATCTTACCTCTGTCATTTCTACAAATAAATGTTATCTAAAGCTTCTGTTTGTTTCTTTGGATATTCTCGCAAAACAGCTATCTGCGCTAGCCGTTCCTAATTGTTAACTGATAGACTGAAGGAAAAGCAACTAGTCAAAAACATCCACCGCAAACTCTTGGGTTACTCTAATCGAGCAGTGAGATTTGATTGTCACTCTTATAACGCACCCACAGCTTCAAGCATAGAACGTGATTTTGCTGCAACAAGATGCGAACCCCGAACCTCCAAATTCACAGTACGCCACACTTACCGCCTTAAAGTTTCTGAACGAATGGTTAAATACTTGTGAATGTTAAGATACAATGAAACAAACCTCATGGTGTATGAGTGCATAGTTCAAAAACAGAGAGAAAAAACTTGAAATTCCCACAATCACATAGTACGCACCAAGATGTTTGTAATTTTTTTGTAAGAAAATCCCGCCACCACATGTATTCACTTTAAGTTGCTTATCGTATCTAATAAAATTCCACACCAAATGTAGTCACTTTGATATATTCATCATATTTAATAAAATCCCGCCACCACATGTATTCACTTTGAAATGCTTATCACATCTAACAAAATCTCGCCATTAAATGGTACTTACTTTGAGATGCTTATCATATTCGTGTTTTGCGGCATAATCCTCGGCCACTCGAACTATTCTCTAAAAACAGATAATTAAAATATAAAGATAAAAGATGTCGTATCAATTACGAAAAAATGGATTCGAAAAACATTATACAATACGTGGGAAATAATAGTCATACATACAGAAAGGTAGCGACATTGCGATAACAATACATGTACTTTGTAAAAACACTATAACAAGATGTAATCGATATTACAACTTAGTTGTAAGCACGAAGACTATTTTCACAAAATACAACTCGAATTCGTACGAATTACTTTCATAACGACAGTATACTGAGATGTAATTCGTACTACGGACAACTCAATGTGATGAGATTTCTACTCGTTCTTGTAATAAACACTTGCTAGGTGTGAAACTTCATTCAGTAAAAGTATTTTTTCACACTATCATTGAAGAGATAATGGAAAAGAAGAGTAATAAAACCAAGCACTGAGAAAAAAAGTAATGTTTGTTTTATTCTTAATCAGAAAGCTACACAATGTTATCAGTGCTATGCACACCACAGGTATCGAAACCCAATTTTTAGGTTTATAAGTCCTTAGACCTATCGCTGGGCTACCGGGGACTGTGGATAATAAGTGGAAAGGTAGGTTGTGTGAAATTAGCCAAATGTTGATGAGAAAGGATAATTAGATGAATTCTAGGGAGAATAAGTAATGCGTTGAATACCAGGGGGGAGGAGTAAGAAGATGAACGTTGGTAGAAATAATAAGCCGAACAATGGGGAAGAGGGTTAATGAGCCAAGCGCTGAGGAAGGGATAATGGGCCCAACAATGGGGAAGAGGGGTAATGAGTCGAACAATGGGGAAGGACAATGAGACAAATTTTAGGGACACTGACAGCCTAATGATGAGAAGGAGAGACGATGAGCCGCGTATGTTATTTGACTAAAAGAAAACGACAAATATCATTAGATATGACTGTGAACCTTATGGATCTAATAGCAATGTCTACCGTTTTACCTGAACCAGAAACTGCTTTACATACTGGAGAAATGGATGTTTTTCAACAATTTTATTGCATACATTTTGTAAAGAAGCAACTGGTTTTAGGATACTCACCTAGAAATATTACTGCAAAAAACACAATAGAGGTAAGAAAAGATGTATGACTATATAATAAATTTAACATTCCTAAACGATTTATATGTTATAGTAATCCTCGCTGAAAACTATCTGTGCATGTCTGCGGACTTACAACGCTAGAAACCGGGTTTCGATACCTGTGGTGAGCAGAGCCACTGGGGGGCACATAATTTAGAGAAAACATCAACCAAGATACCAATACTCTTGTAATTTCTTTTAAACTGAGCATTTTGGTATCGTATTTTTTTTTTTACTGGGAAGGGGAAAATAGGTTTGGAAAAGTATTCTTTATATAATTGTGATAATGCTGGTAACTGTGAAAAACTAATAGTCCAGGAGCTACTGACAAAATAATTACATCAGAAGCTGTAACTTGTTAGAACCGATTAACTTGGGTGGAAATTTGTTATATAATTCCAAATGTGCTTGTCTGTGTTTGTTAGAGCCATGAAATTGATAATATCTTCAACTGCTTTGAATTCCGACATCTATCTAGGGAGACAAAAGTTTGTCGAGGTTAGCCATGTTGCTAATTAAGGAGAAATTACAGCGAACATAAAAAGATTCGTTATAAAACTCCAAAAAATGACAAACCATTCCATCATCTTCCTCTTCATACTTACAAGCCAGATCTTCCTTCATGCATACTTGATCTTCGTATCACACGCAAAACTTTATTCTGCGTGGAATTGCCGTGCTTCAATGATTTCTTAGTATTCTGAAGCTTAGCTATTCTAAACGAAATCGGACCAAGTTCCTTCTTAAATACGCCGTGTAAAAAATATAACAAGTCATCTTGTTCATGTATGACATAAGTTTCAGTTTGTGCACTTTTTAATATTTCATCTCTGTATTATTTTCTTTTCTTTGGTTCACAAATGTGTGTCGTATAGAAAGTTACGCCTCTCTCGGTGCAAAGCTGAACTGAAATAGCTCTTGAAAGTTTCCCTAAATGTCGGCAGTGAGTTGGAGAGGAAGTGTGTGTAAAAAGATAATGTCACCAACAACTACAAACTCACCTTTTCCAAGAGAAATCCCCATTTGCCTGATGTTTTTCAAAATGTTTGATTAGCTCCGACTTGTTAGGTTTTGTTTATGGAGCCTATATAAATAAATCACTGAGAATGGAACAGATGTCCAAGGATATTGAAGAATTGTAGCCATATCAATTGTTATGTTCAAAGGTTTGACTTTTCATATTTAGATACACTCTTTAGTAAAAGCTGGTAGTGGTTTCTAAAATCTTTATTATTTTTCTTTTTTATATACTTCAATGAATTGTTTTCAAGCCTTTTAATCAGAAGTTTTAATATTCTACAAATAGTGTTGATGTTTTTGGATGCTGTTTTTTCTGTACTGATATTGTAAAGATTATCATCCATGAAATGGGTTAATGAATAATTCAATATTGCTTGAAGATCAAAATTATAACTTTTGGTTCTGGCGGGCTTCAATTCTGCTGACACGTCTTTCTCATTCGTTCTAACCATTTCCTTTATACGAGTTACTATCTTGCATCTTTGTAGTCTACCTCAATCTTACAGACATTCAATTAGTAGTCTACCTCAATCTTACAGACATTCAATTAGTAGTCTACCTCAATCTTACAGACATTCAATTAGTAGTCTACCTCAATCTTACAGACATTCAATTAGTAGCCTACCTCAATCTTACAGACATTCAATTATTGAAAGTTGCTATACCAGCTTGTAGAAACGCGGCCGGTTACTCCACTGTCTGGTCTTCTGGAGTATCAGAAACGGGAATGTTTGTTTGCTCGATAAATAGTCATCCCTTTTTGAATATTTCTATTAAATCTTTCTATGCGATTGAGTAGGCTAACAATTCTTCAAACGAAAAGTCAAGATGGCTCCTAGCATCAGTGGTAGGGTAAGGACGAAGGTAGACGTAAATCGAGTAAATAATATAATAACGCTAAACGCAGTTTGAGATTTTCTTTATTTTTAATTAGTACATATGTAATTGTGTATATTTTCATTAACATGTCCCCCTCTACAAAGTTGCCTGGAAAAAGACTGTTTCCAGATTAGTTATCTTACACTGGTGATCTACACAACATTTTGATACAAAAAAAGTAAGCATACATCTTATGGTCGCCTAATTTTTGGTCATTTTAGAGATTAAGAGGAACTATCTAGTTAGGTATCTCTTCCAAATTATGTGCTTAGATTTCATTTTAATATCAGCTCACTTGTCTGTTCTTCTAATACAAGAACTAAGTTTACATCTTATTGCATAAACTTTAATCATTTTAGTCAGATGTGGGAGGGGTTCATCCGTAAGCACTTCCTGTATGAAAAAAAAAGAAGAGAGACAGACAAGCACATTTGAAATTAAAAAAATTCTGACCGAGTTCATGGATTTTAACAATTTACATCTCACGATGTGATTATTTTGTCAGTAGCTTCCACTCGTATTGTCAGTCATTAATAATCTATTGTAACTTTGTTATTTGAGCTATCGTAAGCCTTGCATTTAATATTATTTTTTAATTACTTTAATGAAACTTTTTATTTTTGAAGTCATAAAAGAAACGTGGGAGGGTGCAGCACCTTTAGTCCCACAGACTCCGCTCGTTTTACAGTATTTTTTGATGGGCCTTGCAGCGGTTACATTCGCTTCTACAGCACTGTTTTTAAAAGCTACACTCGTTTTTAAAATCATTTTACAGGAATGTGTAATGGTTATAATAGTTCTCAAAGCAATTTCTGATACAACGCGAAAGGGTTTGCTTGTTTCAGTTCTTACATCACGCTGTGATGGAATGTGTTGGGTTTATAAAAAATCTCTATCAAAGCAATTAATAATAAGATGGATGTTAAGTATTTTCATTATTTTGCTTAATCGTCAAGTGTATTATTCAAAATGAACATTGAAGACAGGTATGCAGGAAAAATCAATAGATTTCGTCAACTTATATCTAAGTTTTGGAGACATCTCTCCCACTTAGATGTTTTTCAGACAGCACGTTAGTATTAATATATTCTGTTTTTAATTCAAAGTAATATCAAATAAATTTGAAAGTGAACTGAGAGAAATACACAAAGATTAACACATCTGCTCCCTTCCTTATCAAACATTTCAACCGCCATTTCCATAAAAAATAAAAAAACGGAAACTACAAAATGTAATTGTCTTGCCTCCACTGCTTGTTGCTTCCATGACAACATGTGTTGAACGTCGACCCTCATATCTTCCAACATGCTATTGGCACTAACCCATTCCACTTTGGAGCCATAATTGAAGTTCTGTGAATGAAAAAATAGACATTATGTAAAATTATCTGACTCTTGTCTGTAATAGAAGTGTCAGTCAGACGTCGTTTATCAGTTATCTTGTTGCACAAGAAAAGAAATGACATGAACCGCATGCATTCAGAAACAGCTCGCTGAAGGTGAGAGCTAGGTTCAAATATCAATGCAGAAACACAAGATAATAGATAAAAATTGACGAGTATTATATCATAAAGTAAGAAAAACACAACAACAAAAAACAGTAAATCAATAGTTTAAAAAAATGATGTTAAAATGTAATGTAATTTATGACTCATTTGCTGTCTTATGTTTACAAAATTACACACAAATTATAAAGAAACCTTAGATTAACTCAAAAATAGTTGTTGGCGCGAAAGTTGAATTTAAACCATGTCATAGCTCGAACAGAGAACTTTATGGGATATGACAGTGTCAAACCTTGTGGGACATGACAATGTTGGCACATCAAGTGGCTGTCTCTGTACTTCATTATGGCTCATGCGATTGGAAACTTCACAAGCTTAAGAATATGAAACCATTAACTTATTCCAAAAAATACACAGTGTACGTATACACATGTTATGCTTGACGTGTTACATCCCGTTTTCTTATGAGGCCGGAATGCTTGATATTTCACATTTTTCGAAAGTTCGATGTAACTTCTTAATTTGATATCAAAACCAAAATCTAGAGTTCACCAACACACACACACACTTCTCTTTGAAACCTACAGAGCTATAATGACACAAAGAGGAAATTATTAATTTCTTAACACATTCCGTAATGTATAGTTGCAAAAATGGTCAAAGTTTACTGAAAATTTAAAACACTAATAATAAAAGTCATGATGACATTAGTAACGTTTAAAATATTTATACTGCACGATTCGAAAACATATGTAGAGGCTTCTTTCATTCCTATGGCTGAATGTGACGAGGTGTAATATATTATTATAACACATCTGGGGAAACTCGTGCTTCGCGTACTAAACTTTTTTTTTTTCTTGGTTGTAGTATTTTACATTTGAATGCATAAAGTTCATACACTGTATAGGGAGTACTGTGTATTTAAAGTAACTAAAACAGTTAAGTGACCTGCTTAGATTATTCATGTATTAGGTTAGGTACGTGGGATTCTGAACGAATCTCATGGCCGTGAGGGACGTCTCAATAACTGCGGGTTTAAAACTAAGTGGGTTAAGTCTATTCCACATCATGTGATACCCACCAAACACTTCTACTACAAACGATACTTTGAGCCGAATAGTCAAAAATGACAAACCGATCTACTCATCCAGTAAGAAACACCAGATATCTTTTCACTTTGCAGTACGTGGTAGTAGTACTATCTACACCCATCCCTCCATTACGGATATAGTGACGTCATTCATACTTCCCTACTCCTAGTTTCGTTTTTGCACAGCTTAATTAAAGTATAAAAAAGCTCCCCCCACACACGTTACTCCTTTAATTATATATATATTGTAACTAACGTGTACAGGATACACTCATCTATATATATATAAAATAGGAAGTTTGTTTATTTGTTTATTTTGTTCGCTATAGGCAACCAAACAATTGAACTTACAACATTTAAAATAACCTTCATAATAACCAGTTTTTGCAAGAAATTTAATGGTGCTATTTATTTTGTATTTGGTGTAGTATTTAATGACGAAATTGCCAATTAATGATTATTGCACCATTTTTTTGTAATAAACATACAAACATAAGCACGTTTTGCAAATAGAAAGCGTTATGGCAGC